ACTGGTTGCATTTCAGTCCATCTTTATCTGTCACTCAGCCTGTTGAACATAGACATGACCCAGCTTCCATTTGGAGCACCGTTTAGTAAGGATGAAGTAACTTGGCTGGTCCTTGCACCTTCTCCCAATGGCTTTTCAGTAAAGGATTTAGGGTCAAGTAAAGCCATGGGAGAAGAGGCAAGGACCAGCAAAGTGAGCTCTCCCTCACTAAAAGGTGGTTTAGGAATTCGGGAGTTGAGAGGCGTGGCTAGTGCTGCAGTGATATGACGGGACTCCATGGGAATCATTGAAATCCTCCTGCCTGGGGGTCTGTAGAGACCCTAGCCAACCCTGTAAGGGTTGGTGAAGAAGAGAGGACACTCTGCGAACCACAGAGAGTCCGCAAATCCTTGTGGGAGCAGAGTAAAGCCTCTCAGACCGGCAAGGAGTGACAGGCAGCCATTTACAAGCTGTCAGAAGCCAGACCAGAAAGTTAAAAGATGATTGTTGAGAGGTGTGTTTGTTCTAGGTGAGATTTTTCTGACCTTTCCCGGCATTATTTTCTTCTCTATCGCATTCTGTATGCCACGGGTGTCAAACTCGTCGTGTCATATTGATGTCATGTGATGTATCTTGCGTTTGTGGAGCTGGGGTGGGCATGCTCTGTGCATGACGCATCTGGCCCATGGGCTGCCAGTTTGACACCCCTGCTGTATGCAGATGCTAACACCTTTCAATGCCTTTCTTTCATTGCTGTATTGGAAGGGAGTCTTCAGGAACTTAATGTTATGTTTCCATCTCTAATGGACACGAGCTTGTTTTAGTTGCATTCCACCTCTTCCCTCCACAGCAGTGTTTCTCCACCTCAGGAACTTTAATGCATGGACTTCAACTCCCAATGTTCCCAGCCTACATGCTGATTGGGGAATTCTGGGGGTTGAAGTCCACACATCATGCTGAGGTTGAAAAACATGGCTGTCGGTGGTCTTTCATGTAGGAATTTGGCCACAGTGACGTCCAGGCCTACCATAGGTATGAAAGCCAGCTGGGTGAAATTGAGCCAGTCACTCTTTGTCAGACCAAGCCACCTCATAGAGTTATTGCTGTGGGGAAAATAGGAAGTAGGAGTATTATGTACGTTCACCGCTTTGAGTTACTTATGAAGTAATAAAGACAGGATAAAACATCTAATAAATAAATAAACAGGCATGACTGCAATGATTTTCCAGGCTTTAAAGATATTTATCTTTTGGGGATTGTGATTTTTCATGTATTTTTCTGCTCAAAAAGATTTTTATTTATTTATTTTATTAATCAACAGGAGCAAAATGCAAATGACTAATTTCCATTCTTAAAATCTTCAAGCTGCCCATAAACTAGCATGACAAAAATCCAGTCATTCCCTTTCTCCCTGGTGTTGGCAGTGTAAATTACAAGCTGTTTTGAGGAATCTTGCTTCTAAAGGCTTCTCTGTCCCACTTCCCCCCCCCCCCCCCCCCACAAAAGGGAGGGGATCATCTAAATTTTGCTGGGAAATGATCACCTTTCCAATGATGTCACTTGCTGCCTTTAAGGCAATTGGAGACTAAATTGCAGCCTCCAGATCTGGAAAATTGCTCACCCTTCAGCTAGGATGACAAGTAACTGAATCCAGTGTGAGACTATGTTCCTAGTTTCAAGTGTTATCCGGTGGCGAAAGTGGTGGACTTTTCTAGAAATTTAAGCAGGAACAAATAATATCATTGGAAACGTTTTCTGCAAGAAGCGAGGACAGGCCTCTGTTCTGGATGGCTTGTTTTCAAAGTGAAATTAAATAAAATAATAGAAAAAATAAAATTAAAAGGCATGCCTTTTTTTAAAAAAGTGTGAATAGCATAACAGGCATTGGGACCTTAATATTGTCAGAAAATAGCTTTACCTGAAGCTATTAAAAAATTAAGCTGTTTTGAAATCTCTACTCTATGAATATGTCAAGATTTATATGCTATATGCTATTCTTACACTAATAGGTTGGGCCTGTAAAATAATTCCCTCCCTACTTGCTATGTAAATCCCCTCCCACATGGGATGGACGGAGTTACAAAACCACAAATGCCATATGCCTTTCAGGATGTCTTCTTAATCATTTCCTGTGGTTTTCCCTCTCACCAATTAAATGGAGGACTTAGAATGGATCCCTCCCCGCCCCCTCCGTTTGTTTGTTGCAGTCAAAACAATAAAGTATATGTTGGCACCTGAAAAACAAACCCATCAATTATGGATGGAGTGAGCGGTCTGCAGGTTTCCAAATATATTTTATTTTTAAACTAAAACTTAAAGGTCCCTTTGCAGAAGAAAAGGCATGAGTGCCACAAGGAATTTAGATGGACGGATTTTTCCATACAGGTAGTCCTCGATTTACAACCATTCATTTAGTGACTATTCAAAGTTAAAACAGCACTGAAAAAAAGTGAGTCATGACAGTTTTTCACACTTAGGACGGTTGCAGTGTGCCTGTGGTCACATGACCAAAATTCAGGCAACTGGCATGTATTTATGACCGTTGCAGGATCCCAGGGTCATGTGATCGTCTTTTGTGACCTTCTGACAAGCAAAGTCAATGGGGAAGCTAGATTAACCGAGTTATTAATTTAACAATTGCAAGAAAGTTGCAAAATGGGCAAAATTCACTTAGCAACTGTCTTGCTTAGCAGCAGAAATTTTGGGCTCAATCATGGTCATAAATCAAGGACTAGCTGTACTTTCACATAACCTGGGGACAGTCAGACCCTGAAAAATATTTTGTTCTTTTATGGCCCATGATGTTTCGTCTCAACTCATCTTATTGCATTGCATCCTCTTCACTTGAAAGAGACAGGATTAAATTGTCCTTAATTATATTAGCATTAAAGGAATGTTTTCCCTCTTATTCTGATAGCTATGTTGGACACTGCCTAGACCAACTTTCTGTGGTTATGTGGCTATGTGGAATTTAATCTAGTGGTTAAGGCACAAGACTCAGAAACCAGGAGACTGCGAGTTCTAGTTCTGCCATCTGGGTGATTTTGTGTCAGTCACTCTCTCTCAGCCCAACTGACCCAATGGGGCTGCTGTTGTGGGAATAATAAAAGGAGGAAGGACTTTTTACTATAGTTAAGCTAATCACTGCAGTTATTTAGTAAATCATACAGTCAATAAACAAATCTGGCTTTCCCCATTGACTTTACTTGTCAGAAGCCGGCCTGGAAAGTTACATATGGTAATCACATGACCCTGGGACAGTGCAACTGTCATAGGTATATACCAGTTACCAAATACCTGAATTTTGATCATGTAACCAAGGGGAACATTGCAATGGTTGTAAGTGTGACAAACAATCACAAATCAGTTTTTTTCAATGCCGCTGTATCTTCAAACAGTCTGTAGAAAGAAAAATCCAGTCCAGTTCCAAGCTGGGAGGAAAAAAACCCCAATGGAGCTTGGCTCCAAGGTGTTTATTTTGGTTTCCAGAAACTTCAGTGACACCCCAGTTTCTGGGGTGGCTGACAAAATGGCTGAGTGAGTGGATGGATCTTTATAGAGTTTTGGGGTTTTGTGTTTGAGATGCTCCAGGGAGATGTGCAATGTAGTGAGCCTTGTGTCTTTTGCTCTTCTAATGGTGATGGGTAAATCCTATTATGTCCTAAAGCAGGGGTCACCAACCTTTCGGACCTCAGGGAACACTAAATTCATAATTTTAAATCCTGCAGACCACTAATGTGAATTTTTAAAAAAGAAATAGTATTTAGTGCAATATAAAAAATGCAAATCACTTTTCTGCAGACCACCAACTTTTTTTCGCGGACTACCAATGGTCCATTGACCACCAGTTGGTGACCGCTATCCTAAAGGTCACATGTCCTGTCCTTAGAATTTGGGTGGGAGGATGTAGATTTTAATCCCATCAATTCCAACCTTCTGTGAGGGTTTTGTTTATGAATAGATTGATCCAGTCTAGTCCTGAACAGATACAAAATCTCCATTCCAAAAGACCAGCCTCTTCTGCTTGAGGCTGTTTTTCTATGCAGGAAGACCAGGGCTGCTTTCTGCCTTTTCAGAACATGTTTCTCCATTTCTCCTTTGGGGAAATATAGTATTCTGCCTCTTTTTTTAATACTGAGAATAAAGAATATTTTAATCCGGGGAGGGGGCGGGGGCTTCCTACAAGTCACTAAAGGAATGGTTGTAAGTCTAGGACTACCTGTATTGGAGAAGACTAGTAAACCTGCATCCAAAGGGAGCTGAACACACCCTATTGCCAAAAAGCCCAAAAATCCTGACTAACATGTTAAGACCCACTTGGTCTGTCTCTAATGGCCAGGTAAAAGTAATATCAGGCAACATAGGAGGAAAAAATGCTGCAGGGACATCACTTTTGTGTGTGTGTGTGTGTGTGTGTTTGTTTGTTCGTTTAGATGCAAGAAGGGAAGGGTCTCAAAGAGAGCAACAAGTAGACCAAGCCACAGTGCGATCCTGTGGATTATGTGCAACGTGGGTCGCTCTTTTCACCTCCAAATTTCAGACAAAAAGAGAGAGAGAGGGAGAGAGAGAGAGAGAGAGAGAGAGAGAAAGCTGTTCTCCAGGCTTCGAGCCTACAGCGGGGCATCGGGGATTTTTCTGTCCGGTTATTAATGTTGGGCAGGGGAAGGGCTTGGAAGAATTTCTCCTATCAACTTTAATCCGGCCTTTCTGCGCCGGAGATTCCCGATCAGTTTTCTTTTTAAGAATTGGAAGGGTAGGGAAAAAGTAACGCCAAGTTTCTCTCGCCTCTCACCCCACCCACCCCGAGAGTCTTTTCCAAACCGCGGCGCATCTTCGGGCATAAAAGTTTTCTTTCGCATACCGGAGCAGGAGGAGGAGAAGGAGAAGAAGAAGGAGAAGCAGCATCCGATCGCTTCCTTCTTAAAAAGAAAACGAGAAGAAAAAGAAGAAGAAATAAGCCGGGGGTGGGTGGGGCGGTGGAAAGAGCCCAGATCAATCACGTGAACGAAGGGGGGGGTGGTACGGAGCTGGCTCCCAGCCAGTGGCAGAAGCTTGATGGGGAGGAACAAACGGAGCACGGAAAAAAAAAGAAAGAAAGAAAAAAAGCCAACATGACTAACGGATCGCGGAAGGGTGCGAGTCCTTATGTGCTGGGATCTCCCGGAATGTAAGCGGAGGCAGCAGCAGCAGCCCCGGCGGCTCTTTCAGCCTCCGAGAGTTGGATCTCCTTACTCCCAAAGCAGATCTCTGCTGCTTTGGGGGGGGAAAGGGAAGGGTTAAGGAAGGATAGAACATGGCCTGCATTTTGAAGGTAAATCTCTATCTGTTGCTTGGATTGTTCCAAAAAGAAAGGAGAAAATGATGATAATAATAATAACGCAAAGCTTCTCCGAGCCATGGTGACCGCCCACCCCTCTATCAACCCCTACCCCGGCTGCATTTGAATCGGAAAATATCTTGCATTTTTTTTTTTTCCTGGGTGCCTCTTCTCCCCAACCAAGCAATCCCTCTCTGGAAAATGCCGAGAGGTTCTCAGCCGCGCCGCCGATCCCTCTTCTCCTTTCCCGCTGCTCTTCTTCTCTTCCTTGTCGCCGTCGCTACTGCCATCTCTCCAGCTCTAGCGGGGATGGGGAAAGAAAGAAGGGGGAGAAAAAAAAGAAAAGAAAAGAAAAGCAGCACGGAATGCGGCAGGAGGAGGCAAGGGACGGGGAGGGAAAAAACCCGCTGGCCGATTCCTTCCAGGCATAACCTTACCCCGGCCGGGCAGCCTTGAGGATCCGCGGCGGCGGGTGGGGGTGAGTGAGGGGAAGAGGATTCCGTCCTTTCTCCTCCTTTTTGGGAAGCTCTGGCGCGAATCTCGCGCTGTTTTCAGATGTACAAGTTGCTCCAGAAGCGCGCACACAACGCACATTTGTCTACCACCCCCACCCCCCTCGGTTCCTCCTCTCCCGATTTCAGCAGAAACCAAAATGTGTCCCTCACTCGTCCTCCGCAACCTCTGGTTTTGCTTCTGTCCTTCTCCCTTCCAGAAGGAGAGAAACGAACCATAACCAAAATCTTTCCCGCTTCCCTATCATCATCCCTTTGTTTCCGCCGTCTCTTGCTTTTGGACTCTTTATATATATATATTTATAAATGTAAATAAAATATATTATATACATATATATATATATATTATACACACACACACACACACACACACACACACACATGCTCACAATGTATATTTAGGTCAGCAATAGGTTGGCACCCCAAAAGGAGTTCAATGGGGTAGAAGGAAACCGAGAAACAAGAGGAAGGGGCAAACCAAAGGGAAACATTTAATTTTAAAAAAGAAAAGAAAAGAAATAATAGAAATAAAATCAGCATTAGAAGTGCTCTATCTCTCCTTACAGATCTCATGTTAAAAACTATCCCAGTTAGGGTTAAAAGGATTTGAGTCCTGTACTTTGGGGCCTTTTCTTTCCTGCCTTTGCGTTACTCCCAATAGTTTTCGCCCAGCACGCTGAGCTGAGCTGGACCTAACAAAAGCAGATTTCTTGATCAGGCTTTAGAATTTCCTACACAAAGCTTTGGATTCCGTTCAGGAGAATTGTTGGTTGAAATAAATATAGGTTGGAGTTCAAAAGGTTTTTCTTCCAGATATGGATATATTTTAATACTAGGAAAGTTTTGTTGGCCACTAGATTCATATGATGAATGCAGTGTCTTATTTTCACAGGCCATCAGGGAGTTCCTAGAGGCCCACTTTATTGCAGTCCTGCTTAGCAAATGCAAGCTAATCTGCAACAAAACATTATCTGGTGTTTTTAGTGACCCCAATTCTATTTTTGGTTCCCTGTGTTTGCAAGTTACTTTGGTGGATTGTGAGAGGTTGTATTAGAATCCATTTTCTTATAGATTTTGGGGGGGTTACATTTTGGGATTCTCTTTTACCCTTCTTTTGGTGGGTGGTGACAAATTGGCTGTATTGTTTGGGATGCAGAGTTGTCCCATTGCAAAACACTGCTCTGTTTATGGATACACACCACTTGACTACAAGCTCTGGGTTGCAAAAACTGTAAGACCAGTGGATGGAAGCAAAGAGTTGAGAATTTTCTGTACAGTATTACTTTGCAGCCCTCTAGTAGGCTTCCTGATTTTGACAGCCCTAGTTTAGCTGGAGTTTCTCAGCTCAGTTAAATTTAGTGATTAAACTTGGATTTTCCACCTTTAGACATAACCTCTTCATTGAGGTAGCATCAATAATATACTTCAACAGCTTAGAATCCACTGTTTGGGATTAACCAGAAGATTTCTCTCTGCATTGAGTCTACTTGGGCAAGACACCATTGCAACAAATACTTGGCAAACTGTATTTCTAAGACTCTTTATTTTAGGAGGGGCATCCAAGGTTCACAAAAATGTCCCCACCCAAGTAGTTCAGCATTTGAAATGATCAGATAAATCAGTACATTTCATTCAAGGCAATAAAATTAATCATACTAATAATATCTACATAATAATCTACATAATCTCAAATGTAGCAGCCTTAATCTAAATTCAGGCTATCTTTCAGCATCCCCAGACACTTCTGTTTATTAAGCCATTGATTTCAGTGGACTCCCTCCCCCATAAGAAAACCATATACTACAATAAGAAGAAAATTTTGTTTAGTTCTTTTAACCTCTGCCTCTCTATAGGGTAGAGTTCAGGTTCCATACTTAAACCATTTATGTTTCGATGTGTTTAATATTGCCTAGATGAATGGTATGATGACTATTTCCAGAGTCAATACTTTGAGAACTTTTAAATGTAGTAAAAACTAGACACAAGTATTTTTAAAAGATAAACAGCATTTCCCTAATTACATCTCTTTCCTAATTCTTATATATTACATTTGGATTTTAAAATATGAAGCCTGTTCACAGATTTAATTAATTATAAATTAGCCTACCTCCTTCCATTGAGATTTGGCCTCTCCCAAATGTTGTGTCCATTTGTTTTCTATATTATAAAAGAAGAGGAAAACAACAAGTTGGACTTGTTAACCAAAGATATTAGTTAGCTAATCTTGTTAATGCAGAAAGATATATCATTTTTAAAAAGAAGAGATATTGGGAGATCAGTTTTATCAGAAAGCAAGTTGTACAAGTCCAGCAAAGTTTGTTCCACAGCAATCAAATTTTGTAACTAGAGGAGTCTCATTTGTGTCACGATCTTCTGATAAGCTAACCTTTAAGTTTTCATAAATGGATGTTTTTGCAACAGAACCCTTGTTATTTCTCTCAGCTGAGGAAGAAGGCAATGGCAAATCATTTCCTAAATCTTCCCATGAAAACTGCAGGGATTAGTGTAGGCAATGACCAGGAGTCAACATTGACTCAAAGGCACCCAATAAATGTATTACGTACTGTATTTATGTCAGTTTTAACCTAACTGAAATTTTGATCTCCAATTTGGGTTCACTGGTGAATGTTGAGCGTGAATGGAACTAAGCTACGCTTGGTTACTCTTAAGTTTCTTTAAAACTTTCCAATTAGAGAAGCCAGTTGAATGAATTAACATTATTAATAAGCAATGATGAAAGGAAAGGAAATGTTTAGCTATAAATATTAAAGGTTCTGAAGAGGATCAAAGGAGCGGCTGACGGATGATTCTTTGAGTGAGGTCCTCTTAAGGATCAGAGCAAATCTGCCTTAACTTTTCATGCCACTCCAGTTGCCTTCTCCACCAGTAAGCTACTGGACATGCTGGTGTAGGCTGCAAATATAGCATAAAACATCTTTTCCAATCAAATTGTGTAATTTCTTTACTTTGGTGAGACAAATAATGCTGCCTTTCGGACAGGAAAATCTAGTCAGGCCCACCTCTTACAGGCTAATGATTGTAATTCCCATGAGACATTGTTATTGGAAGGGGAGGAGGAGAGTCCAGATGATCTATCTAAAATCCTTCTAAGAAGCCCCTCTTATTTTGAGCTTGACTCCTCATGATCCCTGTGAAATTTTCTTGGTAACAATTATATCGGACTTATGTTTCTACTCCTGCATGACAAATCTGAGAAATAACCAGCTGTAGGAAGTCCTTGATTTACAACCATTGAGAGAAGCCAGATTCGTTTAACGATCCTGTGATTTTATTAACAAAAGTCATAAAAAGCAAAAGCAAAAAAGTCATAAAATTGGGCGCAATCTTCTGATGACTCAGTTAATGCTTAGCAATGAACATTCAGATCCCAACTGTAGTTATAAGTTGAGGCTTACCTATACTTTGCAGACACTATATTCAATCTCTGTAAATTGGGTCAATGATTGGCTTATTTTTAATTTCTGTCCCACTTTTCTATTCAATTTAAGTATTCAAGGTAACTAAAAAATAACACAGAAGACAACAGTTTCAGAACATAAAACAAGACAAACATCAATGACAATTTTCTGCAAAATAAATTAAACACCAACTGCCATTTAATTAAACAGTACTGAAACATGCTATTGTGTTTTTTTCCTGATTTTTTTAAATGTCTGCCTCTGGATCTCTGAATTGTGTCCAGTGAGTTGACAAGTGTGAAGGGAGTAATTTTCAGCAAATTCTCCTTTAAACTATGATCACAATAAAATATTTGGCACAATCCTTGAATTTGTCAGCCAATCAAAACTGCACCACAACTTTATAATTTCATGTGAATGCTGTTTCTTAATATTTATATAATTCAGGATGATGATAGCACATCTAATGTTTACAGGACTTCATTCCTGTAAATTCAGAAGCTAAACCCCTCTAATGGCCCATTCCAGTATTATATTTCTTAACTTGCATTTTATAAATATTTATCGAGAAATGTTTGCAAAGGTCACTGCATAACAGCATTTGCTTGTACACTGTGATGGAGATGCTTGCAACAAAGCCTTGCCAAATCAGTTTACACTCCTTTAATTGAAGGACACACTACAAATATTGGTGCTGATTTGAATTATTTTTCAGACAATAGTTACATGCCTTCCTCTCATTATAAATGTATACATACTGTATATATCACCAGTATGTTAAATTCATTGTTTTAAATGCAAGAAAAGAATGTAATGGCAACATTGACTCTTTGCATGGTGACAGACTGCATAAGGTACAAAGAGGTTAGACAAAATCTTGAGTCTCCCTTTTGTACTGTATTATTTTCCCCCATGGCTAATGTGAAGATGGTATAAATAAAAGAACCATATCATTTTCCTACACGCTGTTCGGACACTCCTCAGAATGGGATACGATCACTCCTATTTGCACAGCTGAGTGTCAATCAAATCCCTCTGGAGCTGCATCCACCTCACTTCCTGC